AAACATACCTGGCTTTTTGCAGCTGCACCAATTGATCGATTCCGGGGTCCAAAAGAAACACATGCTCTAAAAACAGAAAACACAATTCACCTCTCTCATCTACAACAATTACTTAACAATGGTGCAGTTAGTTCACCAACTGGCGATATAATATTAACCTTTCACGTGTCTTTTTTAAAATTCTGAAATCACAATTCTATGGTCCTTTATCTGGTTTTTCTGTGGACCGAGAGCGTTAAAAATGAAGCACAATAGGCTGATAATGTGGTTTTGACAGCCTGGTTCCGGCCTCCTCCCGTCAGCCTGCAGTAAAACATCCATCACCTGACTAGTTAGGTCACTTAACGACCTTTAAATGTTTTTTCGATGGTATTAATGTATTCAAACCCCAAAAGAAACAATAGATTAAAATCAAGTTATCCCAGGGTTTCTTTTCTCCAACAATTTCGTTCCGGCTTGCTAACATTAGCTTTAGCACTCACATGCTGTTTCCTGTTGTGAAATCTGTTAGCATGCTAACTAGCTAGCAATGTTAGCTTCACTCAATATTAGGATATAGAAAAGTGCATTCATTCACATTCTGTAGGAGTTATCAACGCAGACGATAGATTGCAAAGCATCCTCAATGATGTGACTAGTCGTACTTACGGTGTACATCGATCGCTGTATTCATTGGCGACAGTTTCAATCCCTCCGGCTCGGGCTACTGCTACATAGCAGTTCAAAAACCCGACGTCAAAGCCTACAACTGACATTATCGCTAGTTAACTTGGTAGTGTGGAGTTACAAGGAGGAACAAAAATACAGTTCGGTGCTCAAAGTGACAACGGTGGCTACAGAAGCTCTCAGTCAGCGGACGGTGATACACCCTTGTTCTTCTTGTTCCATGAAGCTGAGCAGCAGCATGCGGTACGCCGGCAGATGCGTGACAGCGTTCAGGAATTTTCTGTCTGTGCACTGACCAATAGCATCCGACTGCGGGGACCAGAGAGATGTCATGCGCCACCTACAGCTCAGACCCGGTATCGCATCAGCAGGTCTTTTTTTTTTTTTTTTTTCCTTTGGGGGTCGCAAAAGCGGATCCTGTGATTCCTTCTCACCGTTCATAGCATCCTCTTCTGTCACACCAACCCTCTGCATGTCCTCCTTTGGTACATCCATGAATCTTTTTTGTGGCCTTTCTCTTTTCCTCCTCGGTGGAAGCTCCATATCCATCCACCAACTCTTTCTCATATCTTCATGGTATGGGCCATTATCTTTATCGCTGTATATTTACTACCACTCGGTCTGTCACACCTGTTTCTTCTCTTCTCTATACCTCTGGAATCCTTACACTCTCCATGACTGTGTTAAACTATCTGGTTAAAAACTCAGCTGAGCTCTGCATACCTCCACATGTATGTCATCTAAACCAACTGCCTTTCCACTCCTCATTCTTTTTATAGCTGCCATCATTTCCTCCTGCTAATCCTCTGCACTTCCTGATTTACATCTTCCTCTCTCTCTCTCATTTTATACATTCATCAGGTCCTCAAAGTACTCCTTCCACCTTCTTAGCACACCCTGGTCACTGATTAGTACATGCCATCTCTATCCATAATCACCCTAACCTGTTGGACATCCCAGTATCTCACTAGTCTGTATCATCGCTGTCTGACTTCTGGTAGCTGTAGTGTCAACCATTTGCAGGTTGGTATTTTCTTAAGTATCACAGCTACTTCAAATCAGCTGTAATAAAATTGTCTGGCTGTTAAGACTTCTGATTATGTTTCTGGCAACTCTCACCAGCTAAACATATCAAGGAGTCACATCAGCAAATCAGCATCAGGTGATGCAAAATCATGTTGTTACAACAGAATGTTCTGCTTTTACTTTGACACATAGTACCCACTTACGCTGTTGCAGATCCTGCCATGTCAACAGCACTCACCAGTGACTGTGGTCAGCATGACACTGTATTCTACAACATCACAAAGTCAATCAGCCTACTTTTATTAGACACTCGTGAATCTGGAGATTCAACTAACACAGGGAAGGAATACAGTATATAAAGTTCACTGTCGTGCAAAAAGACAGCTGTGGCACTGCCTCCACCCCTCAGACTCAAAGCGTGGGGATGATTCCAGAAACACTGAGCCTGAAAATAAATACATTTATATGTCTTATATATCCATTCCTCAGCACTGCTTTTATGACTGACTAGTATTAACTTCTGCAGTTGAACCATTTGTCTCATCAGTATTATTCTCATGGGATCAAAAATAGCAAATAATCACATCAAACGGTTCAAACTCGCTCAAACACAGATTCCAACATTTTTAACCATTTTTCTCTGTGCACTGATAAATTAATTTAATGCAAAATATGTATTAGAACACCTAAAACTGCAACCCTATCACAACATCCACCACATTCTAAGTGAAAACATGACAAACTGGTGTGCACAGGCATCAGATGATTGGCCAGAACATCACCAAACGTCATTTGTGAGAGTACCACACTTATCCTCCAAATGTCACACTCTAACTTAACTATTTTTTTATTTTGTCATTCAATGTTAGGAATTAAAGTGAACCAACAGTCAATCAAAACTGATTTCACATAAATATTTTTACTTTTTATTGGTTAGACGTACAGACTTGGAATTATAAACAGAGGGCAGTTTAGAAAGGCGGTGCGTGTTCATTGATCGTTCTCGTAGTCGGCTGAATTCTTCCTCTTGCCCTGCTGATGGACGCTGTTGCCCCAGCTGTAGGTCAGATACATAAGGACCATTGCTGCAAAAAGGATGATGACAAAACACATTAGCGATCTGACACTTTATGCACCTTACTGTGAAATAAGTGTCTTTAGTAAATCCTTAAAAATCATATTGTCTGTTCTATCCGTTCTCTTCAAATCTTCACTCATGCTTCACACATGACACGACTAAAACACTTCTATTATATTAGCACAAATACTGTTGTGGTCAAACTCATAATCAATTAATTTAACAGGTCATCTAGGTTTGTCTGTGAAGGTTCTCAGTCATCCAGGTCATCGTAGTCAAAGGAGCTTGCAAAGAAAAGCGTCTGGACTTCTTTAAGTTACTTGAAGACGTTTCACCTCTCATCCGAGAAAGCTTCTTCAGTTCTCAGAAGCCGTCTGTATAGTTCTCAGAACTGAAGAAGCTTCTTGGATGAGAGGTGAAACGTCTTCAAGTAACTTAAAGAAGTCCAGACACTTTTCTTTGCAAGTCATCTAGGTTTGCTTTATTTTTTTATTATCTTAAAAATAGAATAAAGTAGTTCAGAATAAGATCCTTTTATAGTTTAAAATACAAGCGTTTTTAGCTCAGAACCCAACTACCAGATTCCAGGTGAAGTTTAACTAGGAAAATATGAACGACTGAGAGTTGAAACAAACAGGCCAAGCATGCTACATATGCTCTTATTTAATTATAAGAATTTACTGATATTGACATAATGAACTGGTATACCAGAATCCTAACATAGTGTAAAAGAAAAACACTCACGGGGTGCAACTTTGAAGAAAGACGACGTGACCCTCCTCCACACATTTGGGATTCCCTTGGAGAAGTAGTTGGGGAAAGCCCTCTGCTCAAAAGGGGACAGACTGTATGTGATTATATGCCTGACCTTGGCCAAGTTTCCAAAGTGGCGTCCCATGTTTACTGGAGAGCTGGGCTGAAAAGACAGCAAGACGCATACAAACACAGTCATCAGTGCTTAAGTGTTTCTGTGAGCTGGATTTAAAGCAAATATTTTTAACCCAATAGCTGGATAATATATCTAATGCTCTCCTCAGAAACCAGCCTGTCATTGGAAAGGGGGTTATTGGGGTTACTGAATTTTAAATATACATAAAGGGCAATACATACGTGTGGTATTAACTTCAACGTAAAGTCGTCATTTAAACGTTAGCTTATATAATGAGGTTCACAAGTCAGCGGTTTTATGTAACAGTATTACATAAGCAATCACCTGCCCTTGTCTTAAAGACTTCCTGTGATAGTCACTAACAAAGAACCCCCAAAAGGGTGCCAAATTATTGATCCGTAGCCTGTCTCAAAGAACACAAAATTAAAATCCCAAACGAGCTAAGGTTAGCCGCGCTAGACGTTAGCTTGTCTGTTAGCTCAAACAGGCTAGCTCCTGAGGTACAAACAGACCTTGAGCTTGCACGAAAGCGTGGTATTTGAATCGCAATAGGCTCACACTAGTTCAGTTTCGCTATAAAAATGTACTGACATATCACGTTTTGGTATTACGGATAAATTCAAGAAAAACTTTGCAGTTGAAATAATGACATTGAGACTCACCGATTTGCTTGTCCACGGTGTTTCTGAACACTTCCGGTGTCCGTCGACCTTTGTTATTCAGGCGTCAGCTCACGCCGAGGGCATTACTGCCGCCTGACGGGCTGGGGTTTAAACGGCAAGCCATTAACTGAGTGAGGAAAATGTGTTTTTTCTAGTTCCAGGTCTATTAATACTGTGCTCGTGTGTTTTCAGATATTCCAATATTTGATTATGGGCATCATCTAGTTTAGGCCGCAGATCCTAGCTGCCACAGCAAATCACACTCAGAAGGTGCCAATATTAATCGACTAAGCTCTAAAGTTTTTTTTTTCCTCAGTTAGGACTTTAAGCAAAACAAGTAAAGTTGTGGTCGAAAGTTCCCATACACTCATTGTGGGCATGGATGTCATGTTAATTTTTATTCAGTGCTCTAGGATAGAATGATTGTGCATCATAGATCTTTAATCACTTAAAAAAACAAAAACAAGAATTGGGTGCAGAATTGAATTTGTGTTGGATTTTCTTTAGTGTGCATCTGTATACAGGCTTAAATATGAATATATACATTCCCACTAATATTTAGCTAAACGTCTCTTAACGTGTTGCACTTCAACCAGAAACTTTGGTCGCCATAAATAAGCTTGAGGTATATTTTTGGCTGGATGACCACTTTTCACGGCACAGTTGGTAGTTCATTTAAATTGATTACTTTCAAGGCAATGACTGGGCATTTAAACATAGTCCACAATTTTTAACAAGGGTTGAGGCCGGCGTTTTGGCAAGACCATTACAAAAGTGTAATATTAGTCTGCTTTATTTATTCCAAAACCACTTGTGATGTATGCTTGGCATCATTGTCCTGTTGGAACATCCAATTAGATCTGAGTTCATGCTGTCTAGCTTTGATTTAAGGTGATGAAGAAAGACACCTCTCATCTCTGTGGCCAGATAGCTCAATCTTTGTCTCATCTGGCCATAAAACTTTTCTTTTTAGTAGATTTCCTCAATTTCAGCACCACTCGTCTGTATTTGGCATTGTACACAGAATACACTATTCCAACAGTAAAACGCTCTTTTCTTTAGTGGCTCATAGCTTTTCACATAATTCCATTTAGACAAGGTTTATGCATGTTATTTTTAATTCTTTTCAACTTTTGCCTACATAATTTCATTCTTTCGAATATTCCTAAGCTGAGCACAGACACACAGTGAATTCATTCAGTTTGCATAAATAGACATGACATGCATTTAGTCTCATTCAACCAGTGCAAATATATAAGCATGCAGTCAGTTCACACGTATGCAGTCACTCAGTGACCAGAAGTAATAAATACACACTGAAACCTCGACAACTTTCATTCTGGACATTATGCAGACAGATGTCTGTAATCCCCATGAATAAAACGATATGTAAAAGGTTTGGGAAGCGTTTGTGACTGCTTTTTCTTTTTGTCCAGAACAGGGCTACTTAAAATTTGGCAAATTGTGTTAAATTAAAGAATAATGACAGACAACCCACCCAGAATAAATTAACAAAAACAAGCAAACTTAAAATAAATCATACATCACACATTTTTATCTTCAAGTGTGTTAGATTCATTACAACATTTCTAACAGCTGAAGATCAGGATGCATCTGCACCTTTTCTGCCTTAACAAAACCGAAATAAATGCCACACTTTTACATGATAAAATACTTTAAGTAAACACACCTGCTCCAGACCAAACTTCTTTCATGCACAACGATTTTATAAATTCATGAAATCACCAAGCCTGGTCAGAATATTTGATGCTTGGAAACAGTCCACCTGTGTAATGACTGCTGATGAGGGTTTGTTGACATTCTGATCAGCCTGAAAAACAGAAAGGCATGTTGGTTGCTGGCTTAGCGACAGGTACACCTGGTGGCGACCATGTCTTCAAACTCCTTGTAGACGTAAGAGCCGTCCTCTTCAAAGATCATGACACTGAGGGGGCTGTAGTGGGAGGGGACACACGAGGGCCTGGGAACAGAGGAGTCAAGCTTCTCATAGATGAGGTTTTGCACCATGGTGTGGACGGGTGACCCGTAGATGAAGCCCGTGATCCTCGGGCAGATTCCTCTGCAGTACCTGGGATTGTACTTAGGAGGAAACACAATCCAGTGGTCCAGTTTGAGCTGACTGAAGCGCACCCTGAAATCATACAAGGCGCAGTCACGTGTTGGGAATTCGGAACTTGGGAGAAGCTCAGGCAGCTGGATGTCCAACTTTGTATCACCTCGTTTGCTCTTTGGAGATTCCCTCTTCCATCTCCTCTTGCGCCCACGCCTGCGTTCTGGTTTTAAAGCCCCCTCCTTCTGAAAATTATTAAAGGCCACAGATGGCCTTTTACTTGCTTTAGCACTCTCTAGTGACCACTGGTGGGCGGTTTTACTGGTGTCATTGAGGTAAAGAAGTAGAGGAGGGGACCTCAAGGTGATCTCCAGGGGACCTTTGCAACCATTGCCCTTGGCTCTTTGTTCCTCTGGGCAGGTGATGTTGACAAGCAAGTGTATGTTCTTTTTCGGAAACTTTAGGAGAGGCAGAAAAAATGAAGTGATGTCAACCTCCACCCAGTTTCTCCAGCTCCTCCTGCCTGTGCTGGCTGAAAAGTTCACTGCACGTTGGACCCCTGGACAGAGCGGGCACTGATTCGACCTCTCATACTCCTCGATAGTGATGTAACACAGAGAGCTGACAGGTGCTGAACTTTCATGGTCCAAACTGTACAGCAGGGCCGAGTTCAGAAGTTGCTCTTTTCTTTTCACTTGATGGAGGCTGTAGGATAAATCCTGCATAAAACTCTCTGTGGAAGAACACAAAAACATAAAGGGCAGAAAGTCACCATCATGTCATGATGCAGACGTGCTCAAGATTACACCAAATTTTAATTAGGTTGAATAAACATGCACAACTTATACATGTAGCCAATTCCACCAATGACATTTTACTTTTAAGGGAAGGTAAAAATGCAAGATTAGTGACAATAATGTGTTTCCATAATCAGTTACACACAAAAAAACCCCCCTAAAAACGCACTTTTTGTATATAAAAAAAAAAAATCAACTTTTACACACTTTTAAAAATATATATAATAAAAAATATTGGTATATTGTAGCATACCCAAGTATTATCACACTAAAGTTGAATTAACTTGAGCTACATCCATGAGAGTCCATATTCATAGAATTACAGTAATAGATTTAACGTAAAAGTATCTGAAGGGCCTCACTCAAGATGCTTTGTAGATAATAGAACTACAAAATGAACCCTCACAAAAAAAGTGAAAGACTAAATCATCTAAAAACCACTTACCTTCTTCCCTCACAGTTTATGTAATAAATCGTATTAAAGACGTGCATCTTTTTCCTGGAACATCATTAAATCCAGCAGCCACAGTATATACCAGCCTTGTGTAGAAATTAGTTCTCCCTTTAAACCAGGTTTCCCATGGTACCCTCTATAATTTGGGTTAGCACTAAGGTTAAGTTATGGCTTTTCATAAGTGCTTGACTGAGCAGTTTTGCTGTAATTCTGCTGCACCAGCAATCAGATAGCAAGCAACACAATCCTCAGAGCAGGTATGACTAACTTCACCACACTGGCCTAGTGAGTTTGTGTGTCAACAGTGCAAACAACGCACCTAGTTGAGCGAGGGTGTGTGCAAATGTACGTGCATCTCTTGGCAGCGAACATCTACCTGCTGCTCTGCCTAACAACAAAAAAGCGCAGAGCAAAATGGATGATCTGGGGAAGAAAAATAGGTAAGGCAGACAGGGAGGGAATAAAAATGAGAAAGAAAAGGCAGCTAAATGCTGCAAAAAACATCCCAGTTATGAGCCAAATCAAACAAACACTCACCATACATGCAGCCTAATGATTTATGCAGGTGCACCAAAAGCCATAGGATTACCTTGAAATTCAGTATTTAGGATTGTTGGCAGTCCCAGGTTGCCTTTTTTAATGTTATAATATGAATAAAGTTATTCATTTATAACTAACATCAACGCACAGCCTGTAAAATCCGTGGTTAGTGTATTGCATGTACATGGTGGACTAGAATTATTTACGTATGATCTAGTCTGCCCCTGGTACAGCAGAGAGAAGTGGGTCAGGTCAGTGTAAGATGATGAAATGTAGTATAAGGTATGGTTAATGTCTAGGTAAGGTGAAACATGAGACAGTCACATTGTAATACCATTAAATGAACCACTTTTTGTTCTGTGTTGAGTCAGTTTGTTGGGACATTTGACTCAAAAACTTTATTTATATTACCAAATATAAACTGAGATACTTATCCTAGGGTGCATCTGGGGCTTGAGGTTCTTCTGAGATCCAGGAAGCTCTGGTAATCTCGCTTTGCTTCACCTCACCTCATCTTTGATAAAGTGACCTATATCTCCAAATCATTGAAACTCTATAATCTTAATAAGCACATGACCCTTAGTAACTATCCTTTGGGGTGTTTAAAGGCCGTGTGCGATGTTTCAGAGCCTATTCGTTTATTTAAATGGCCATGGAGCATCAGTGCTGCATGACTGTTTCTCCAGTGCAGTCAGCTGCCCGTGTGACTTGCTCACCTTTGTTACTTTGTGCCAGGCACTCATCCTGTGGCTTGATCAGTCGGACAGTGTTGTAGATGTTGCTCCCGTCCACACTCCTCTGCACTCTGGAGGACTTCTTGTAAACCTCTGTCAGATATTTCATGTACCTGTGCTCGGGTTTGAGCTTTTTCTTCAGACCGGGGTTCCACCTCGACCCCCCGTGCTCCGACAGAGCTTTCAGCAGCGGGGAGAAGATGCTGTCGTACTGGTAGGTGAAGTCGGTCAGTGTGTGCGGCGCGTTAGTGGCAGGCCTGAACGGCGCAACCAGCTTGAAGCTGCAGGTGACAAGCAGCAGCAGAACGACAGTGCGAAAACGACTAAGGGCAGCTGACATCAGCATTTGTTTTTCCATTATAAACAACGAAACCGGTCAAAACCTATCGGCACTCTCTGTGGAGAGCTCGAGGTCAACAGGAGCGAACACGTGCTGCCGCTGATCAACACGCGCAGGTGTGGGCAATCAGCTCCATCACTCATATTACTTTGTCATGTAAAAGAAAGCTGCTGCAGGAGCCCCTGCGGCTTGGTCGTGTGAAAAATAAGAATGAAAACTGCAGCGAGCTTGTTCTATATGTAGCATAAGTGAAAGGGCTGTGTTTTGTAAAGCACCAGCTCTGATTAAACTGTGAACCTTTAACTTCTGGTATTGAAGTACGTTTCCGGTTATTGTAAAAACAAGATCAGACTACACATTTTAACATTTAAAGTGGAAAACCGAGCCCTCTAAACAGATTTGAAACACAGTTTAGCAAATTTAAATACATTTAATCCTAAGGTATGTGAATTTTAGCAGCGCTACACTGTCTACCAGTATCTCAGAAATTTAAATTTAATAATTTAAATTGTTATTTAAATTATTTACTTTTACCTGCATATAAAATCCGAAATGGTCTCTTGCATTTTTATATTTCTGTAAGTCTGTAAGTTTTAGATCCTATGCTGCTTAATTTTTAGTTATCCAGTAGTACTCCCGGGGAAAAACTGGGGGCGCAGCTCTCCCAATTTTTGCTGCCAAACTTTGGAATAACCTACCTCAAAATCCTAGGAAAGGAAAAGAAAACATATATAAACATATATAAACACGCCTTGTTAGTGCTTCCACCTAATAATAAAAATACCACTGTACAGCTATATCTGCTGCATCATTTATCATTTTATTGTTTATGTATTTCTGATGGGTTTCTTGTTTGTTTAAATGCTTGTTTCAACATTTTTATTTACCTCATTTTATAACATAGATTTATTTTATATCTATATCTAATATAGAAAAAAACTCAACTGAGTTTTCGCAGCATGGGTAAGGAAGAATTTAAGCTAGCAAAAACCAAACATGTTGGTATGGCAATGTTTTTATTTTGAAGAGGTCCCTCCAAACTTCCGGCGACACTCTTGTTCTTATGTTTTAAGTTTAAGCGAAAAACCTAAAGCAAACCTAACCTAAAACAAAAAATTGTCAAGAAATATATAGTTGGCTAATTATTTATTGGAAGTATCAACCGACCGTTTTATGTAAGCGTATGCTGTCTGCTAGGCGCTAGCAAGCTTAAGCAGTTAAGCAGTTAAGCAGTTAAACTTAACTGCTATTTTAAACTTAACTGCAAAGACGAACGTGTTATTAAGGGTATTCTGTATGTTTCAGGGAAATGGGATCCCAGCAGGAACCATTGGTTCCCATTAACACGGTAAGAGATAACTCAACTTAATAATTAAACAAGTTTGAGAACAGTACAGTATTATGCTATAAAGAACATAAACAAGACATACAAACAAAATTTACTTTTTGCCAGCTTCCTTGTACATTTTTCCTTTATTTCTTTTTACACCATTTTATTTGGACAGCTTGAAAAGGCTGCCAACAGTTTTATGTGGTGAGTTTGAAATAACCAATCTGGACCATGTCCCAGACAAATGTGTGTAGTTTTTGACAGTAACTGTTTATTTCCTCCATCAGCTCTCTGGGAAAAGCTCGTCAAATGTGACAGTATGTTTTGTCATGTCATCACTACAGAAGTGTGGGTTTATGTTTACTGAACAGCTTCTCACCATTGGACCTGACATACTGTGCCAGATGACTAATTTGTATTGTTATTTCCATTATCTTTGGGATCTAAACATCAACAATAGCTGATATTAGCTAACATTATGCCAGTTTATGTTAGGCTCGAGTGTCCTGAAAATCACACCTTGCCTCTGAAAAACAGTTTGGTTACATTCTCATTTTGCGTGAGAGTTTATTCACTAAGCATCAGTGTCCAACAATGTTAGATATACTGGTAGATATAGCGGTGCTTAGCAGCAGAGAAGTTCAGAATATCCTCAATATCAGTGTCATCTAACAGAAGTGAGTTTTACTGGCTCATTGACTCATTTCGGACTCCCTTCACAAAGCCTCCTCCAGAATAAATGTATGCACCCAGCATATTGCTAACGTAAACAGTGGACTGACAGCCTACACTTACTACAGATGAACGTCAGCCAGAGTATTTTGAGTGGACTTAGGGGTAAAAATGTAAAATGCTGCATTTTTTTTCTGGGGTGATATTATTCAAAAATGTTAAAATATAGTGTGTAGAAAAATGTTTTTGTACAGAAATGCAAAGGAGCTGGCTATGGCTGTTATAGAGCAGTCTAAATGTAATGTTTCACTCTCTCTTGGCTGCCATACACTGTAGCTAGGATTATACATTAGAATTAGGAGGGGTAAGAAATCAGAACTCAATTGACTACAATCTACTGACATCTAGCAGTGGGATTTTACACACTGTACCTTTAAATGTAGGGATTGCATGTTCTCTCCTAGTACTCCAGCTTCCTCCACAGTCCAATAACTTAATCCAAAAAACTGGCTGTCGGTATAAACGGGATTGTGAATGATTAACTTGCTCTAGTTGTTGATCCTGCAATAGGTAAACTGGAAAAAATAGTAGTGAAAATGTATGGATGGATAAAATTATAGGGGTGGTATGGTGGTGCAACGGTTAGCATGGTTAATTCATGGTGTCTGGTTCAAGTTCCAGCTGGGGTCTTTGTGTATGGAGTTGGTGATTTTAAATTTGTGATTAAATATCTTCATTGGGTATATTGTTATTTTAAACGTTAGTATCACTATCAGTCCAGAATATCACAGTCTCCACTCACAAATTGGTTTGTCCTTGATTGGCACGTTGCAGCCACTGGTTTTTATAGTGTTCCCACAGATTTCTGTTTATTGTAAAAACTGTGATCCCTAACTTTGTTCTCAAACACCACGCTTGTGGCACATCATATAATTATGGCACCACACTACAGCTTTTTGTACTGGTGTTCTCTGGAGTGTAACTATGAACTCAAGGGACCATTTCAGAGCTTTAGTTATAACTTTGCCCCAGTTTACTACAAGTACTGAAGCAAATAAAATCAGTTTATTTACAGCAAGTGCAGTTAGTATATAAAGTATATAAAAACAAAACATTTTTCTTAACAGGATCTAACATAGTTACCCTAGAAAAACTTTGATGTTTAGAAATTTTGCTTGGATCATGGGACATAGGAAACCTTTCTGTGGGAGATTTCCTTTTATAATCACATGACACAGTTTCTATGAGTGGAGCTGTCCTTTGTCTTTATGTAAGCAGCTTCTTTTCCTAAATAACAACACAAAGGACATTGTTCTGGCACTGCTCTGAATACGGCTTTATTGTCCAAGTGCCTTTTAGACCCAAACTTGTTTTCAGACTGGGTCAGCTAAGTAACAAATGAGGTTATTTAATCTCAAAATGATGTTTTGATGCATAGCTGGTCTTGAAAAAAGATTTATGTTTAGTCAGTCATGTCTAAACAAGGACATATGTTTTAATAAGTTTAGGTTTAGTTATTTATGGCTCAGATAAAATATTGCAAAGGCTTTTTCCACTTCATTGTGTTGAAGGTATTAAATTCAATGCAATTAAATGTTAATAAAGTTAGTGTTCCTTGCTCATTAGCTTTTGAATACAGTTTTTATTGCAGTATGTTTTAGAGCTTTGGCTGATACTGCTTATCCCACAGAACAGTGTCCTCCTCTTACAGTACAAACTGTTGACAAAAAGTGTATAATGCAAACACTGCACTACCCCAACTAGTTTCTTTCCTGCTTTGCTTTGCTTTTATTCCACACTCTTTGCATGTACTAACACTGAGATGTTGAATATGTTAAAACCTAACTTTATTTGTTTCTTCAGCTATACTGAATGTTTCCTTTTCCTTTGACAAAGCTAACTGATTTCATGTGGATGATAAAAGTGATTGTAAATGTGATCAGCAGCCCACAAAAGCAATGAGCATACTAGACCAATGTATTACAGGTTGATGAGTTGACAGTTACTATTTCCCAAGAAGTAGGGAGGTGCAATCTATTTTTCTATTTCCTCATACTTTGAAAAGTCAGGAATCGAGAAGTGACCTGTAAATATTTACTACACATTAGGTAATGAAAATATGCATGACTATACACATTGTGGTGTTAATCAGTGAGAAAAATAACACATCAGTTTACATGAAATTTAAGATAAACAATGATAATTATAAATACCATTAATAATTTTAAAAAACCGCACTGTGCAGTGCCATACAAAATACAGTAAGTACTCCTCTGTAATTCAGTGAAAGACTGTAAGATATGTAAAGCCTTAATAAGGTGTCAAGTATAAACAGTGTTATCTCCTTCAGGTTTAATAGTTCATGTCACAGCTTGTTTTGTGATACTTCTTACCAGTCATGAGCAAACTTAGTCTTTTGTTTCTTCCCATGAGGCTGAAACAGTTTACTGATTGTGTTGAAGCCTTTCGTCTGCTCTCTGTACTTCTCTATATCTTCTGCTTTCAAATTCTGCTTCATTCCCAGAAGTGCTCTGACCTCAGCCGGAGCACCTTTGCCCAGGTAGTAAAAGGCCTTTTTGCCATCATTGTCTCTTTCGTTTACATTGGCTCTGTATCTTTGCACAAGCAGAACCATGACCTCAGTGTGCCCATGTATGGCAGCGATGTGCAAAGGCGTGTAGCCTCCATGTGCTTTGGTGTTGACGTTTACATGGATGCCGCGTTTCCTGGGGATGTCCATGAGTTTGCGTATCATTTCGCTGCTGCCGTCTTTAGCAGCCCAGTGAAGTGCTGTGAACCCTGACATGAAGTCTTTCCTCTGGGCTAAACCAGTGTCCTGCAGCAGCAAAGCATATATATGTCCCCACATCCCAGCTGCACACTTCACCAACCACTCATGAGCCAGTCGCTCCAAAGGCACAGACTCTGAGTACCTGGCATCATCTGCTTGTCTTGTGGTCTTGTTTGGCGCCCTCACCTCTGGTAAAACTCGTGGGTGTGTGTCATCTGTGTGTGTGACCATCTTACTTTGGATTTCTCTGGATATACCCTTGCAAGCGGAAAAGTTTGCGTTTGAAGTTGGTGCTGGTCGTGTAGAAACTTTTGCACTCGAATTAATTGGTTTGTCTAAAGTTATCTGCTGATGCACTCGGGAGTGTGATCCGTCCAGTGCTGCTGCTGCACAGTCTCTCCCTGGAGATTTCACAGCTATGACAGCGAACACAGCTCCAGATTTCCCCGCTCTGCTCGCCTGATCTCCGGAGATATTCAGGATCTTAACAGTGGTCGTATC